TCGTGTCTCTCTGGGTTTAAGGTCTTTATTATGAGGATGGCCTTATTATCTTCTTCAGTGAACATCTATTTTGCCAGTCTATCATTCCATTACCTTCAGCTCTCATCTATCAACTCTCTAACCCACAATAATTCATCTCCTTTATGAGATCTCAACATTGATTTCTTGTTTTGAAGGAATGGCACCCAACAGGGGTCCTTAGGTCTTGTATTCCCTCCATTTATGACCGCAATTCTAGCAAACTCCCTGAGGACAGATAACATATTCAGCCAAGTATCCTACATCCAAGAAACTCTTTGATCTGGCTTCGCTTCAAGGATGGAAGAGTTAGGGTAATACATGTTCTTTATCACCCTGCTAACAAGTAGATTAGACAGAGTTTTTAATCCCCAGAGTTGCTTAAAGATGAGTGCTTCATTGAAAACATTGATGTCCTTAAATCCCAAACCACCTTTGATCTTAGGAACAGCCATATGGTCTTATCTTGTCCAATGAATACCTTTATCTTGGTCACCCCTTTACTCCACTAGAATTTATTGCACATGAATGATATATCTTTGCAAAGACCGCCATGAAGCATAAAACATGATACAACAAATACTAGGAGTGCATTCAAAACAGCCTTAACCAACACCTCTTTTTTCAGACTTAGAGTGAAACTTATTCTTCCAGCTTCCTATCATGCCCCTCACAACTTGGAGAATAAAGTCAAAAGTCTCCTTATTAGATTTATCCATCCCAATGGAAGCCCCAAGTATCATGTTGAGCAATGAGCCTGGATGCCATACAGAATTTTATAGATATAGCCTTGGTTTGATAATGAAGTATTCTTGCTGAAAAATATTGTAGAGTTGGTCAGATTCACATTTTGCTCTGTAAACCCTTGGTATTTTCTCAATATATTTAATAATAAAGCAACCTGACTAGGATCAGCCTTGCAAAACATAAGCGAGTCATCTGCAAACATGAGACGACTAAGTGTAGGGCCTCCTCTGCTTACTCGTAAACCTTTAAACATTCCCTTTTCAGCTTCATATTTGATAAGGCAAGACAATAATTGTGTGACTATAATAAACATCTATAAAGATCGAGGGTCTCCCTGTCTTAATCCCCTAGTGGGGAAAATGAGCTCTGACTTCTAGCCATTTACAAGACAAGAAAATGAAACTGAGGAGACACAAGCCATTATACATTTAACAACGACACTAGGGAACCCCATGCTCATCAATATAGCATAGACACTGTGCCACTCAACTTTGTCATATCCTTTCAACATGTCAAGTTTCAAGGCCATAAAGCAAATGTTTCCAGGTCTGTATCTATTAAATTAATGAAAGACTTATTGAGATATATAATGACATTATCAAGTAACATTCTCCCTGGTATAAAATCATCCTGAGACTCACTGACACAAGAATCCAATCACTTCATCAAATCTTAAAGCCAGCCTTTTTGAAATAATCTTATGAACAACTCCACACAAACTAATTAGTCTGAACCGACTTAGGGACATAGGGTTAAGGCATTTAGGAATAAAGGTAATCATAGTTTGGTTAAAATACCTTTACAGCCGACCCGAGTAAAAAAAATAAAAATTTAACTGTAGTGCATAAATCATATGCTGAATAACAGACAACAAATGTTGGTAAAAAAGTGCAGTCATACCGTCCGCCCCAGGGGCTTTGCAAAGATTCAAACTGAAAAAGGATTGCTTAATTTCTGCTACCTCAACCTCAGCTATAGGCTCCTCATTCATGGTTGTGCTTATGGATTGAGTAATTAGTCTTAGATTCTCCTCATCTTCCTAGCTTCCTTCAGAAGTTTACAGTTTCTGGTAAAATCATCCACATGTGCCTCCAATTCCTCTATAGAATTAAGTTATCATCAGTAATGAGTCTTGTTATAACATTAGTTCTCCTCCTCTGCAGAATGTAAGCATGGAAGAACTTGGTATTTCTGTCTCTCTCCTACAGCAAATCCGCTCTACCCTTCTGTTGTCAGTATTGCTCTTCTAAAGTTTGAGACTGCCCCAACTCTTTTTGTAGTCTATTCCATTCTTGCCAGTTTCTGTCCCCTCCTGCCAGTCTCATTTCCTCTATAGAGAGAGTAAGCTCCCTTATTTTGTTTATGTTCTTAAGTCTAAAAATCCTGATCCAGATTCAAAGCCACTTTTTTTTTTCTCTTTATAAGGCTGAACATGGGAGTACTCTGCTGATCTGCAGTCCAAGCCTTTTGCATCACCTCCTGCACACCATCTTTTTTTAGCAATCTTTTATCAAATCTAAATTCTTTTTCTTCCTATCACCACCTCCTTCTCATGTCACTAATTAGTCAGAAGCACTTTTGAACACATTTATGACAGAGGAGTTGGGGTGACTAGCCATCCTTTTAAAAAAGCAAAAGACATTGTATAATTTTTCCTCCACAAAACCTTCTTGGTCCATATTATTGGCCCATGTTCACTGATGACCTACCATGGGAAGTTCCACCATGCCCATATCTGTGATAAAATTGTTGAACCCCACAAAACTGTGTTGAGACATCTGATATCATTCCAGTCCCCCATGATTA